TTCTGGATTAGCTGCTATAAAACATCTGTTACAACATAATGGTTCTCATGGTTGTTTAGTATTTTAGATTATGATACAGCCATCTGCACTAATCTTAAACTAGCACACAATGTCTGTGCAATATGATATGTTTGTAATATGCATGCATATATAGCTTCATATTTTAACATGGCTAAATAGTCCTCTGATGAACAGAAAGAGGAATATATAGTAAGAGTAATAGTAAGAACTCATCTGGTGAGTTTTTACTGTTGGAAAGCTGACCCTGACTAATGCTCTAATCAGGGAAGGAATGGACAGGCTTGTTTGACTTTTCCCAGGTTATATTGCTCAATTCTTTTTCCCTGGTCCCAAACATTCTTCAATTAAGAAAATAATTACTTCATATATCTGTCTTTCTTACTTGTATTTTGTTTCCAAAAATAATTTCATCAATCCAATCTACTGGCATAGCATATGAATTGGCATCTGACACATTCCCCAACTTTTTGGAGAAAAAAAAATCATAACAACAAAAAAGAGTTTGACAGCTGAGACTGTGTTGCTGAATTACAAGTTCTTGAACATCTGGAATACTAGAAAACCCTATTGTCAAAATCAATGAGGAATAACTATTAATTTTAAGCCAATAAATCTTCCTTCAAAAATGGTTCATGCTGTCTTAAACCACAAAGAAGCAAACATACTGTCATGAAAGAAACAAGGAAGAATATTTATACTCCTTTAGCTGCTTGCCCTAAAGTCAGAAGTTCAAATCTGTACCTGGCAGGAATGACTTAAATAGATATTTCTGAATCAGAACAGGGAAATGGTAAAAAATGTCTGTTTCCCTTAGTTATGATACAGGTTCCATATATTTCCCATCAAGCTTACAGTATTGCTTCTTTGGGAACTTATCAAAATAATTCTGAAAATGGAATATTTATTAAACAGCTGTAAAATTGTGTGGTTCACCACAGCAAATTATGGGTAAAAAAGGAAACAAGAGAAACACACTTCGAATATACAATACAAGATCTGAAAACTTGACACATAATTAAGGAATATTAGAACACTATATGAAATAAATTGATTAGTCGAATACTGCTGGTATAAAAGATGAAAACCTTTAAAAATATTATGTGCATTGGTATAATATTTTGTCACATCTAAAAATAAAGTAATTTAGGAATTAAGTATAAAGATAACTTTAAATTTTATTTAAATAAGTAAATAAATTATCTTTGGATTTTTTTCCTAAGAAAATAACAGTGAAAAAGTAAAACCAGAAAAGAATATTTATATTAAATTGCCATTGTTTATATGAATGACCTTAAATAGTTATAATTTAGAAAGTAATAGCCTCAGTGTATATCTAGCATTTATGAGGTGCTAGGCATTGAGGTGTTTACTTCTATGAACACCATTACCTTTTGTAAGAACATGGGAAGGTAGATTTTATTACTTATTCCTATTCTGTGGATTAGAAAGTTACAGATTTAAAAATTTAAAGAACTTTCCCAAAGACATTCTACCATTTTTGAAAGAGGTCTAAAGTGTTCAGAGATTGAATCTAAATCTAAGCAATATGATTCCAAAGCCTACAGTCTGGGATACGACACTAGATTCACAATTATATTTAATAACTCATATCCATAGGAATTCAAGAACATAATCAAAATTATCAATGTAGATTTAAAATAATATTTGGCAAGAGTTACTGAGTGTTAATTAACACTGAATAGTAGCGTAAACAATGATATAAATACTAATCAATATTATTCACCCATGCAGCACAGAATTGACAACTAAGTGGCACTTGCTTAACACTGTATCAGGTGTTAAGAATTAAATGAAACACAAGACACAGGCCTGCTATCCAGAATCTTATAATCTGGTGGTGGAAAAATATGTAAATAAATAATTATAATCATATAACTATGATTACATAATTATATGATTATGCATATTACATATGCATATAATGCATAGTGACTTTTAGAATACATAAAAGAGTGACAGATTGCCTATTTTTGGACAATCAAAGGAAATCAGCCTAGAGAAAGTGAAATCTAATATAATACAGAATAATGAATAATCATGAAAATAAGTAAGATAAACCTGTAGGTATACACTATTATCTTCATTTATAAATCTGTCTTCATTTAATTTAAAAATGCAGATTTATATGCACATATGACATATTAAAATATTAAGTCATGTATAATCTTTCTTTAGTGAGACTATTGATAATTTTAGCTTTTTAACAATTTTTCTGTATTTTGTGATAGATCTACAATTTTTTTATATATGCTGCATGTATAGAACAGAATTAAGAAATTCCAAATATATTGAATATGTTGCATGAAGTAACAACAAAACACAAATCACGTCATATTTAGAATCATAAATATGGTGATAATATACATTGTGAAAATATTTTTGGTGTTGAGTAGGCAGGTTGCATGTTGAGCCAGATATGGAAAGTATATTTGTAAGAGTAAAAGATTAACATACACATGGCAGACTGCCCTAGGAACTGACTATCAGAAAATTAGAATTATTGCACATTGTCACAATAGGACATCTAAAACCCTTAAAATCCATCAATACTCATACTTTAAACAGCATTTGAGACATTATCTTGAATTCAAAACGAGCCATATTTCTGAAATAAAATGTGTGACTATTCACACTGTGTAGAATAAATAATGATTATAAGTATATTCACATTGGTTCAAATTAAGGATTTTAGTCTATTAGTTTTGACATCGAACTTGTGAAAATTTTTAAAAATATTTTGTTTGCCTAGATGCTTATAAATTTCTAAGTTGTGAATAAGGAATACTGAATCTGCAAAAGAAAACTTCTAGAAAAATCCTCAAAATAAGGAAATAAGGAGCTGTAGATATCTCATAAATATCTATAAGAACTGATGCAAAAGTAATCTAAATTAAGGCATGGTCAAATGTCTACAGCACGACAGGTTAATTTCAGGACCATGGTCTTTGCCAAAGTGCGATACACTCTAAGACCTCTTCTTTCTCTAAGCAGAGAGATGTCAGAGCTCAAAATCATTAATATTTAAAAATAGTGTTGGGCATTTTATATCACTCTCTGAAGTCTATAGATAATGCCAAGTAACTGCATCTAACATTTCATCACATCCACTAACTCTGTGACAGTTTTCTCTGCCTCACCCCCATTCCTTAAATTATTATCTAAATTTGTGCAGTATCTAAGGAATTATACAAAGTGTAGTTTCATTCTAAGATTACTAACAGGCTATCTGTCTATAAAAATAGATCTCCTTAATACTTCTTCTGGAAGAAATGTCTAGACACTTGGTGAATCTTGGGAATGCAACTTTTGCATAATAGTTGGATTTTTTTCTTTAAAGGGAAAAGAACCAAAAAAAGATATGACAGCAATATGAGAATGGAAAATTTTGAAATATGAAATACTGAATGGTAGTATAATGAAATACAAAGATATCACACAAAGTACACAAGGCCAGAGATACTTTCGCTGTGGTGTTTGACTTAGCATCTGAAAGCTGAATTTTATTTTCAATTGCACCACTTTCTAGGATAGTCATTTCACTGTTGTTTTTTTTTTTCCTATGTAAAACATTATCTTCTGTCACACGTTTTTATAATGCTTATATAACACCAGAGGGGTATCAAAAGCACCTGAATGTGCTTGTATAAAAGGAAATCATACATATAATTTTAAGTATAAATAAATGTGACTGATATTGGTAATAATTAAATAAAAGGGGATTGTGCTTTAAACAAAACAGAGACACAAAGTCATCATAGTTTCAGCAGAGCAGTAAAGACTGATGGGAAACTGAGGTAAGTAGAAAAGTTTGGGACCAGTATTTCCCATTTACCAAGAGGCAAGGAGTCGTTATAAGAGGAAGAAGCAGATGACTCAAATCAAAATCTGCTTGGTTCACTGCTTAGGCATGAATTATCCTGGGCGGGCATAAAGTTTCAAAACTCTGTGTGTACAAGAAAAGTTTGGAGACTTCTATACAATACACTATCAACCTGTACCTGAAGTTAGTTCTTTAAAAACACTCTTAATAAATTCAGTCTCATGATTTCTAAACAGCAACAAAGTTACTGATTAAGCAGTATCAAAAATTACTGGCCAAACAGCATCAAAATTACTGTGCAATTTTACAGTGACAAGGACAACAGAGAGCAGAGGCAGTTAACAGCCAAGTAGAAGGCAACGAGTTCAGCTTTGCACCGAGGGTACAACCCTTTGGCAGACGCTTGCACTGAAGAAAAGAAGTGAAATAAAAATCATAACCATATTACAATATCTATGCAATGGAAAACTAATGAAAGGCAATGTAATTTTGTATATTGGACTGACTGGAAGCATACAAAGTAACAATTAGAACTGTAAATGTATCACTGGCAAAGAAAATAAAAGGGATTAAAGAAAGAAGTAGAGGAGTATACCTGTAGGGAGACAACACTCTCAAGTAGTGACTAAGGAACTAAAACCAGTGTGCAAGATTTTCCTAACATTTTTAATTACAAATTTGTATGTGTGTGCCTTTGCACATGTGTAACTTTTCCTTTTACCAGCTCAAGAAAAAAAAATGTTCACTACTCTCTGAGAAATTTGAACCTTAGGGAGAAACACTAAAGATTTTGTTTAGTTGAATGCAAAATAAAACTCTTGCCATAAATATTTATGGCATAAATATTGCTGTTTTAAAACAGATAAGTTGTTCCACTAGATTGAATTTTGATTGTGCTTTTAATATGTATACACAAGTGTCCATGTCATGGTTTTAAATGTTTAACCACAGTCAAATTGGTTCTGAAATGTGTGATTAAAAAAAAAAACCTCTTTGATAAGCTCAAGAAAAAGTGGAAAGGTGGTCTCTTTTTCTCACCACCATAATCCAATTGGAATTTTTTCACTAACCAAAATGCCTGAGGGTGGCACTTTCCCAAATCCCTTTCCTACTTAGTCATGAGTAGAAAATTTCTCCTTTAGTTCCACCTTCCTCTAAGGCCCCTCACACTGGTGTTCCGTGAACCCTTGAATTGGAGTAGCTGGAAAATGGCCTGACGGATCACCTTGGTCTTCAAGCTGTAAATGATGGGGTTCAGTACAGGAGGCAAGAGCAGGTAAATATTGGCCAAAACACTACAGATCACCCTTGGGGTGGAACGGAAGAGACGGTGTGTTAAGGACAAGCTGATCATTGGCACATAGAAGATAGTCACAGCACAGATATGACAGACACAAGTGCTGAGAGCTTTTTGTTGCTTCTTTGGGGTCACAATGCTCAGAACAGTACGGAGGATCAGGACATAGGAGAAAAGAATGAACAATAAGTCAGTGCCATTCAGGTAGAACTGAAGAAACAATCCCCAAAAATTGCTGATCCAGGGGTTAGAATATGTGAATTTGATCATATCTGGGTGGAAGCAAAATGGGTGGGAAAGCTCTTGCCCTCCATGGAAAGACACAGAGTTCACAGCCAGAACACAGGGAAACATGAAAATTACTTGCCGTATGAGGATGGTCAGTCCAATCACCAGGCTCATCATGTCTGTGAGGACAGTAGCATACTTCAGTGGGTTGCAGATGGCCATGTAGCGGTCAAAGGCCATGGCTACCAGCACTGAGGACTCCAGGAAGGAGAAAGCATGCACAAAGAACATTTGAATGAGGCAAGGTTTTATGCTGATCTCCCGAGCATGAAACCAGAGAACCCCAAGAACAGTGGGAAGAGTTGTGATGGTCAGACATAAATCAATAGCTGAGAGCATGGAGAGGAAATAGTACATGGGTTTGTGGAGACTGCGTTCAATAACGATGACAAGCAAGATCATGCTGTTTCCCAAGAGGGCAATGATGTAGAGACAGCAGACAGGTACGGAGATCCAGACGTGAGCAAGTTCCAGTCCAGGGAAGGCAGTGAGGAGGAAATTGGAGGAAGAGGATGTGGTGTTATTGAAAATCAACATGGTGAGTTGAGGACACACCCTGAAAAGAATTACAATAATGATTGCACCTGACATTTGAGCCTTCTTATAAATACTCTTTCATAAGCCCTTCCCCAATTATATGATTGTATCACTTTATTTAAAAATCCTAATCTAATTATTGTGCCTATCACACAGTTCTCCAGTGTGTTAAATTGTTCTCATTAGAAAATGGCCTCATTTTCCTGTCTCTACCCTCTCCAGATTATAACCATCTGTTAGGGTTTAGATCTCCTTTTATTTTAAGGGAAAATAAAAACACTTTATTCAGTGTTGGGGATCAAACTCTGCTAGACAAATGCTCTGCTACTTATGGTTTGGATCTTAACTGTCTCCCAGAAGCTCATATGTTAACATTTTAGCTCCCAGTTCAGCATTGTTCAGCAGTGGGCCTTTGGGAAGTGATTGGGTTATAAGGACTCTAACCCCACAAATGAATTAATCCATTTATTCCACTTATGTAGCTTAATGGGCTGGTGATAAGTGTTGGAAACTTTAGAGTTAGAATCAGTTGAAGGAAGTCTATTGCCAGGGGCATGCCCTTGAAGGGTATGTTTTGTTCCCTACCCTTTCCTCTCTGTCTTTGCTTCTTTTTAGCTGCTATGAGGTGAGTAGCTTTCTTCCATTAGGGGCTTCTGCCATGATATACTGTCTTGCCACAAATCTAAGCAATTGAGCCAAATAACCATGGACAGAAACCTCTGAAACCTTGAGTTAAAATAAAACTTTCCTCTTTATAAATTGTTTCTCTCAAGTATTTTGTCTATTTTGTCACAGTGATGGAAAACTAACACATCATTAGTATCCCTATGCTCATTCCTACTTTATTTTCCAGACTACTCCCAGCATGAAATAAGAAATGATTATATACTTAGGTCACACATACCTAAGTATATAGCACATCAACAAAATAACAGCAGTCACAATTATAGCATAATGAGTCTTTTTATTAAGTCACCAAGCTATAGTATAGAAGTTGTTTCGGAAATAAAGGAAAAGCACATAAGAGCCACCTTGGGTACTTGCAATGCATACTCCATGATGCTCTTGTTGGAATCTGGTCTGGGATATTGTATCCAGAGGCATCCTTGTACCTGAATCATAGGCCACCCACTTCTCATACTCTCTTATAAGTCATCTCTTAGTATCAGGGTTTCTTTATTTCATTTCCAATATTTCTGCCCTTCCTCACTCTGCATATTTGTGTGCTCTATTTTTGTTTCTCTGTGTGGTTTCTCATACATCTTATACTTTTTTTTTGGTTTCTATTCCTTCCCATTGATAGCTACCATGTAACTTCAAACTTGATCATTGTGAGTACACTTCCTAATGAATCTTGCCCATATTTTCAAACATTATTCTTAAAGATAAGACTACAAGTATCCTGAGTTAGGCCTAATAGGGAAGCCTAGAAAAAATAACCTGTCATATCAGCTTCTACCTCAGTTCTGATATTTTGTTAGGGTCATGACAAAAACTCAATGATTCAGGCAAGTGACAAAGCATTGCTGTATCAAGTGTGAGGCCTTGAGTTCAAACCAAAACACACCAAAAAAAAAAAAAAAGTCAATGATTAACTGTAGAGTGCATACCTTGTTTCACTGGCTATAATATAATAGGGCCATGGATGGATGCTTGCACCACTTTCTTTCCAAAAGAAAGATCCTAGTCAAAAATTCAGCATTCCTCCTTCTTGTCTGTTGTTGTTTTTGTTGGTTTTTTGTTTTGTTTTGGTTTTTGTTGTTTTTTTTTTTTCTTGGCAGTAGCAAGGTTTGAACTCAGGACCTTGTGATTGCAAGTTATTATACCAGTTTTAGAGTAAAAATCAAGAGACAAACACCCATAAAGAAGGCACTAATTATCTTCTGTTCTTTGAATTGTATCTTATAAAGGACAAATAAATAACACTGAATGATGTAAGAAAAAGAAAAGGAGAGAAAACAACACATTTTGCTGCTGGGGAGCTCTTGTCCCAGGAGATGAACATATGGACAGACAGAAGGAAGGTCAGAGGCCTTTCTGTCTCTGAGCTCATATACTCTGGAATCAGATGTAGAACAAAATTCACTGCCTAAATTCACTTGGGGATTTCCCTACATTGCTTACTAACTAGGGCAATGAATTTGTGCTTTTTATATGCAGGCACAAGTCTTTATCTGACTAACCAGGAAAAAATTAACATCTGTCCACACATATAAAGAAGGTGAGACAAAATGTCTTGGACAAGACCCACCCAACTTAAATGATTCAGAGGTCAACATCACTGCTTCTGGCATAGATGATGACAAAGGCTCATCCTTCTCATTTACCAACCACTACCTGTGATTGTCAACCTGTGACTGTCAACAGTGAATTCTAGTCCATCCACAATTCAGAACCTGCCCCGAAAACCCTAGGACATGTTAAACTACAGATTCCCTCTTACACGAAGCCTTTGTGCTACTCAGTTCTTGGACATTTAATTGATTCTTCATAATAAGGCAGAGCTGATATTGACCATTTATATATACAAGTGTCATCTCCTTTTTCTGCCTGGAATGAGGTACTTGAAATTTTAAGAATGCATGTTTTCATCTCTCAATGCTAACTACTAAAGCAAGACCTGGAATAATGGAAAGCTTTAATTAATGATGTTAATGGTTGCTAAGCAATCATGACCACAGTAGACAGTTTTGAGTCCTATCTCCTCTTGCCTTTCTCCATTCTTCTCCCTCCTGTACTCCATTACTATCTTAATTATTCCCTATCTCAATTACTTCTAAGGTTCATTTTATGCTTCCATTTCTTCAGCCACCTTATTCATATCTCCAATCAGTTTATTGCTTTTCTCCACTCGTACTTCCCCTACCATTCCTCATTCTTTTATTCTTACCCCTTGGGCCCCTTCCCTGTAGTCATTCTCCTTACCTGGTCACATCAGCAGGAAACACCACAATGTCTCTTCAGCTTCATTTCAGAGCAGGGATTAAACCAGCTCCCAAGGAGGAGCCTTTATAGGCAGCCTTGTGGAGTCACCAGACAATAAGAAGTAATCTTGATTATTTAAGTATACTAGTTGGAGCAAGAGTGATGGGACCCATATGAATATGTTCCTCTACAGCAGCTGAGACACAGCTTCAAACCTTGCTCCAAGGCTGAAAAAAAACCCATCCATCAAGGACTGGAAACAGAGCCCTGGCCCTGGAGGCTGACAGTAATAGGTAGCTGTAAAATCAGCCTGCCGGTGTCAGGTAAGTACACCCATTCCTCTTCACCCAGCCTTGGGCTATAGATTCTCAGCTGAGGAGCTCCCTGAATGTCAGAGATGAGTTAGGACTGGGCAGAAAAAGAAATCCTTCTATTCTCTACTTCTGATATGTATTCTGCCTGACAGATCCCATTATCTCTTGGACATCTATACATCCTCCTCACAGACAGGAGCCCCTCCTAAGAAGCTGCCTATTTGAATCACAGTTACAACCTAACTAGCTTCTAAACATAAGTAACCTAACATTTGATGAACACAAAATACATTTCAGAAACTGAACTATAAATTTCAAGTACATTGTTGTATACGTTCATAATCAACCTTAAAATCTAAATGTTATCCACTATTTTCCAGCTGAGGAAACTAAAGCTTAGAGAGGTTTTGGATAAGTTTATCCATCTAAAAATTAGAAAATTTATGGAGCTGGTATGTAAGTCCACCTCTATCTTATTCCAAAATGCTTGCTTTTAATCAATATGCTACTCTATTTAATAAACTACGTCTGTTCATATCTTTGGGAAATCCTGGTTTCAATGTATCTTCCAAAGTCAACCCATCTTATAGATTGCTTGATTCACAACTGCAAGACTGCATCTGACTTAAGTCTCATTTTGACCAGAATCTAACATAGCTAGCACTGACTTAATAATTCTGGTATTTACCATGTGTGTATTACTGGTGATAAATGCTTCCCAATGTGACAAAACAGGGTCATGCCAATGACAGGTACTAGAAGAATAGTACTGCTCAGATTTAAGACGAAAGCATCAACAAGCCTTTAGTCTTTCTTCCTAAAAAGTAATACCCAATATTGCCAGGAATATTAGAAAGTAAGCACCCCAAAGATTAATGCATCTAGAACAATAATGAAGATCACAACCAGAAGCCCATAGATGCTATTGACATGGGTGTCAGTGCAGGCAAACCTTATGACATTCTGAAGGAGGCAGTATACATGGGAGAGACATTGGCATATATAAAGAAAGAATTTTAATGAGAAAAGGCACAAGGACAGCCCCCAAACTCTGCAGCAGGCCTGCTTCTCCAATATTGCCTTGAATGGAAGTGGTAACATAGTGCAAAGGGAAGATGATGACCTCAAAACAAACAAAGACTTGTTTTGGCCACCAGAACACCAGATTCCATTCCCCAAAAGGGATGAATGAAGAATGCCAAGTGATACAAGAATCAAAGATTAGTGAGCAAGGAGGAAGAGCAAGATGATACCTGAGTAAAATCCTCTAGCAATCATCTCCTCACAGATGCATCAGCATGAAAAAGATAAGGAGAAGATTCTCAAAACAGTAAGAGAAACTACAAGAAGGTGTCCCAATTCATCTGACAACAGACTTCTCAGCAGAAGCCTTGTAGACAAGGAGAGTGATGAGATTTTCACAGTAATGAAGGAAAAAATGCCAACCAAGAACACTATATCCAACAAAACTGCTTTTTAGAAACAAGAGAGAGAAAATGACATTCCCACACAAAGAAAAGCTGAGGAAGCTGGGTACAGTGACTCAAGTGTGTGATCCTAGCTACTTGGGATGATAAGATTGTGAAGATAATGGTCTGAAGCCAGCCCAGGCAAAAGGAAATGAAATCAGCATGCCGAAAGGAGACCTGCACTCCCATGTTTATTACAGCACTACTCACAGTAGCCAAGAAATGGAAACAATGTAAATATCCATTTTTCAGTCATTAAAAAAATGAAATCCTGTCATTTCTAACATCATGGATGGAACTGGAGATTAATGTGTTAAGTCAAGCAAGCCAAGCAGAGAAAGACACATATTGCATGATCTCACTCTTAAGTGGATCTGTAAAAGTCTATCACATAGTTGATCTCATGGAGGCTATCAGAGGAATGGTGGTTACTAGAGGGTAGGGAGAGTACGGGAGAGGGAAGAATGGGGAGCAGTTGATTGGTGGGTACTAAGATGCAATAAACTAGGAGCACCAACGACCTGAGTGCTGTTGCCCAGTAGACTGAATTTAGATAATGAGAATGTATTGTATATTTTGAAAAGCTAGAAGAAAGTATTTTGAAAGTTTTCACTATTAAAAATAATAAATCTTTAAGGAAACAGACATGTTTAACTTAAGCGTTACATCTGTCAAACACTACATTTACCCCATTAAAATGTACAATTTTTATGTTTTATGCACTAGCTAGAATAAATCTAAAGATACATAGATAAAATTCTGCCATACACTCTTAATTGTGGCTGAGAAAAAGTGTTGACATCGAATTATTTATATCTAACTTTTGACATCTGCTTTGAGAATGTGAATAAGCCTATAAAAGAAAACAAATGAGATCAAAAGGGATTGAAAGAGGTGGTGGGAAGGGTCTGTTGATAATTTAATGACTAACTACACAAATGCATAGACCATAGTAACCAGATATCCCAATTATAAGAATTACCTCATTGATAAAAAGGTATAGTTACACAAAAAATCCATTAAAACAGATAAAAGAACTTTTATATGATACACTAGAATTACAACTCATGAAAGAAGTTAAATAAATTCAAAGACTTGTTTCTGTGTTCCTGATGGTCAGAGTCTAGGCAATCATTTTCTCCAACCAAAAGTAAGAGTGGACTCTAGTCATTTTATAGATGACTACTACCTTAATACCTGCCTTATTTTTATATCTTATACACTACATAGTATTCTTTTACTTGTGACTCTTTGGAATTTGCAAGAAGTCTTATAGCCGTTGCAAATAAAAATGCTTTGTGTACTGCCTTTGAATATGTTTCATGCATACTCACTTGTGGTATTGAACTCAACTGACACAAACTCACATTTGTATCAGTGGTCATGGTATTGGAAGCTGTTTCAAGATGATTTTCAGGACTGCAAAAATAGTTCAGGTTAACATCCATAATCCATTGATTGGATATTAGAAAAAATACTGTAGTGTAGAGCTCTTCATAAATGTCAGTGGAGTGAGTGTATCAATTGCCACTCCATTCAAGCATTCTGCTTTGCTTGTGTATTCAGATATTTAGCCATCATTGTATGATTCCTATTCTGTTTATGAGTCAATTTTCTGTTTACACAATGCCCAGTGAAGACTGAGTTCCTTTTCTATGAGATGTTATTTGTTAATCACCTTGTTACAGTATTTTCAAAAATGTACTTTTAACATTGTTTACTAACCTTAGACAAATGATACATTTGTATTCTCTCTCTCTCCTCCATCCCTTCTTTTATTCTCTCTTTCTTGCTTGATGGGTTTTTGTTGTGTATACCACTGTAACATTTTATGCATAGTCCTACAAGCAGAATTAAAAGTTTCGGCATACAAAAAAAAAAAAAAAACAAGAAAG